TGCAGTTTCAGGCCCCACCCTGCCACCTGCCAGCTCTGAATCTGCATTTTAACCCCATGGATCCCCGGGACCCCCAGAGGCACACTGGCACTGAAGGAGCCCTCTTTCTGGAAGCTTGCAGGGTGCTCCCCTACTTATGCAGCTTGGCCATCCAGGAGCAGGTCCACCCCTCATAGAAGACACAGTGTCCCCATAAGTGCCATCCTCATGAGACCCTCTCCCAAGGAGCCCCTTCCTCAAGAACCACCCACGCTGAGCCCAGATGCCTCACCTGTAAAGCTGCTGGCCTGGCTCTGACCCACCGCACTGGTCAAAGCCAGCAGGACCAGCCCCAGGGTCACGGGCATCCTTGGGGGCAGGGGCCACGCAGGACCCAGGGCTTCCAACGCAGCAGTCTGAGTCTTTGGAGGGGCACTAAGGGCCTGCGTCGCCTGGGCCCCAAGAAAAGGCCCTCTGTCCCCTGTGCTGCTGGTGATGGCAATGGCTTCAGAGGGAGCATCTGCTGGGAGCAGTCCCTTATGCCTGCTCATCAATGCCCGCCTGCTACCGCTGTTTCCCTGGGGGCTCCTGCATGTCACAGACTATTCTTGCTCCAAGCAGATGGCATCTTTTAGGAAAGGTGAGCGGCCAACATCTCCAGTCTCATCACTGAGTTCCATCTCATTGTTACCCAGAAAATGCATTGCAAACCCAAATCTGTGTCCCTCCACCAAGTGCAAAGTATTCTCTTACCCTATCACTGCAAACTGGCAGGAGAAAACAGCGTCAAATCAAAGTGGTACATCAGACTCAGAAAGGCACCCTTCACACAGCTCCACAATACAGCTCAGAAGTCATGAGTGGGACTTCACCAGCCCCACCAGACCCTTCTCCTGGATCACTGGGCTGTGCTCACAGAGACGCTCACTACCCGTGATTGGAATGGAAAATCACCCGTGGAACAGCCACAAGTGGGGGGAAAATGAATTATTGCAGAGGATGGAATATTAAAGAATCGGGAAATGCCCACCATGAAGATGTTTTACCAGCATTAAGAAAAAATGAGCACTGTAAACTCAAAACAAAAGTTCATACAACTGCCTACAGAAAGAAATCAACCCCAACCTTATATGAAAGTGGATGAAACCCAGAGAAGATCAAGGGAAGAAGAGAAAGCCTGTTGAGGTGGTGGAATTGTAGGAGGCATTTTTATTTCAGTAACTGTCATGTTACATGTGAGATGGATTTTTAGATTTCATGTCAAACCCTCTCTAGACCACAAAGCCTTTGTGCTTTTTGTAACTTGGTATTGAAAGCTGTTGGCTTCTCGGAGAAGACCACAGGGTAGGTACAGGGGCCCCCTGGCTGTCCAGCTCAGTAGTCCCCTTGTGTCCTAAATACAGAGCTGCTCTCTCCCAGGGGCCTTCCACCCGATGCCCATGCCCACGTTGCCACGTCTTCTATTCTCTGCAGGTTCATCTCCCCAACGACTCACTGCTGCGCTTGCATGGCTAATGGCTGAGTGTCAGATGCCATGGCAAGAACTTTAAAGAGAAGCTGGAAATAACCACAGCCAAGGGCCCTGCACAGGGGTTCCCTGGAGGACAGCAAGACCCTTTACAGAAGACCCGAGTTTCGTGAGGACCGACCCATAACTGTGCTGTAATACAGGTTAAAAAGAAAGAGTTTAATAAGGAAAGAATCGATTCTAAAACTCTCATGTTCGAGGAAATTAATTTGATTAGCATTAGAAGAATAAATAGAAAATTAGGGCTGGGGATGTGGCTCAATCGGTAATGCGCTCGCCTGGCGTGCACAGGGCGCTGGGTTCGATCCTCAGCACCACATAAAAATAAAATAAAAGATGTTGTGTCCACCAAAAACTGAAAAATAAATATTAAGAAATTCTCTCTCTCTCTTCTCTCCCTCTCTCTATCTTTAAAAAAAAAGAAAATGAAAATTAATTAAAATTTGAGTAAATTTAGACATTTAAAATTCAAGCTGAATCTTCTTTATAATACCACATTTACCCTCTCTAGGGAAGTTTGTACAATACAGGAAGTTTCCATAGCATGTGGAGGTGAATCAGGGACAACATTAAAGTTTAAAACTTCTTTTCCCTGCAATTCTCTACCGCCCTACAGCGCAGGTCCTTCACCAGGTGGGTTCCAGGAAGGGGGCCGCGGTTCAGGAAGGCATGTGGTGAGGGAGGGGACCCCAGCCTGGCCCCTGCCTCCCACTCCACTCCACGGCCTGCCGGTCCCTCTGGAGAGAGCACTGCACCCTCCAGCCCAGCACAGGGAGGGCAGGACGTCGCACTGAGGACTTGGTGGAGTCTGGAATGTCCTCATGCTTTCTCTATCGTTAAACGCCTGTCGTCAAAAAAGAACCAAGTTAACAGTTTCTAGCTGTTGACTAACAGGTCTTCCTGTCAATCACTCCTCCATAAAGGTACAGCAAAAGGTGTGTGTGTGTGTGTGTGTGCGCGCGCACATGTGTTGGGTGTGTGTGCACATGTGTTGGGTGTGTGTGTGACTGAGTGTTATTCGTGAGAGTGTTATTGTGAGTGAGTGGGTGTGAGTGAGCATGAGAGTGCGTATGTGACTGTATGGGTGTGTGTTTGTGAGTGTGTGAGTATACATGAGTGTAAGCATGTTTGAGTGTGTGTGCAGGTGCAAGGTGTGGGTATGTGAGTGAGCGTGTGTGAGTGAGGGTGTGATTGTGCTCGGTGAGTCCATGCTCAGGCACAGATGACCGCGGGGACTTTCCACTTTGCCTTGTTAGGCGAAGCAGCTTCACCCTGTGGCCAGCAGGGAAGGATGGTCTTGTTCAGAGTCAGCACGGCCAGGATGTGTCCATCAGAGAGCAGCATGTCCATCAGACAGACCAGCGTCCTGCTGACCCAGTGTCCACACGCAGGAGAACAGGGGAAGCCACGGGGTGCAGTTGAAGGGTTCACACACACCCATGCACACACACAGGCTCGGTCCCACCAGCTCCCTCACACACTGACACATGCTCACAATTCACTTTCACACCCACCAATGTTCACATACATGCAGCTCTCACACCTGTTCACACTCAGCACTCATGCTAGCTCGTGCACGTTTACACACATGCCTGCTCGCTCACATCGCACACACACACAGACATAAGGTGAGGAAGGGCCTGCCGCCTGGACAGGTTCATCTCCTCCATTACAGGGAGAGCATGGGTCCCCCCTGACGGCCCTTCCTCACTTGGGGTCTGAGTCCTGCGACCTGTGTGTGCTCACAGAGGTTGCACACACCAATGCAAAATGGCACATCTGTCGCCACCCTGTGGCTCAAGTGTGTCCGCCCTGATGGTGGTTCCACATCATGGCAGTCGTGTCCCAGAGACAGACGAGCACACCAACGTGAAGTCCTCCCACTGGTCCGGGCTGGGAGGGTGAGGAGGCACCACTAATAGCCTGCAGCCTCCTCTGGGATCCTGTCCCCAGGCAACCACACAGCCACCTTCCCTTGGGAGAGGAGGGAGGGCTGCCGAGGTGGGGGACGCCAGCCCGGAGGGAAGGAGGAATGGCCGGCAGCAGCTCCATGCGAGGGAGCTGTCCTGGTGGAAGTGGGGACTTGGAGACACCTGCACTGTCCTGACTGCAGAGGCCCTTGTCCCACTGGAGTCCGGGAGCAGGGGAGACGCAGGTGGAGGCGGAGAAGTCCCCTCTCCAAGAGCTCAGCAGTCAAGGCTCATTTCCATGAAGCACTAGCAGGATAGGACAGTGGCCGTGATGAGCCAGACAGCAGATTCGTGAAACTGGAAAAGTCTGGATTGGGAAGAGGCCTGGACTAAGCTGAGCCGGCTTCCTGCCCACTGCAGGCAGCTCCCTGGCGATCACAGGCACCAAGATAGGGCTTCTTGGAGTACAATGGGGGCCACCGAGGAGATAGCCTCCAGCTCCTCCGCAAGGCTGTCACAGATTTCCTGGGGATCCTCCTTTCAACGCAGGCTCCCTTCTGGGTCAGCTTGCCTCTTTCCTGACCTCTTGTCCCTATCCCCTATGCAGGGAGTGGGGGACAGATGCCAGCCCGGGCCCTGGTGTGACAGCTGTGGCACCTGCCCTTGCTGTGTCCTCCAGAGGCTCTTGAGGGAACCTGCACCCTCAGAGCCACTCAGGGAGAGGCCCAGACACCTGGGGGAGGAGGGCAAGGCAAGGCGGTCTGGAGCAGGTGTCCCACGCCACGGGAGGGTAAGACGACTTTCTCTAGATGCTCTCCTCTGCCCTGAGGAGGCTGGGGTGCCCCACAGCTTCTGAAAGACCCTCCTTCTCTGGTTGTAGCTCTGAAACACAGCTGGGCGCACACCCTCCACCTGGGCAATGCCACCCTGCGGCTGCAGGGAGGGGGAGCGAGCGGCCAGGCGGGAATCACGGAGTCTATGGAGTGGTTCAGCCCAGCTGTGCCCCCAGAGGTTCCTGTGCTGGAGCTCAGGATCCTCACCAGAGGCCCAATACCTGGAGCTTCTGGCCTTGGAATTTCAGTTTCCAAACTATAAGCTAAATAAACCTCCTTTTTTTTTTAACTCAACCTCCAGTATTTTGCTATAGCAATAGAAAGCAGGCTCACCAAGCCCCAGCCTCTGGTCTGAGAGGTACGAATATCTCCACGGGGGTCAGGTCCAAAAGCTTCCATCCACCTGCCCTGGGGATTGATGGGATTTGGTGACTAACTGTCCCACTTCGCCTTGGACTCAGGCGTCTCTTAGAATGAAGAGCCTTCACCACCTACATCAGAGAGTCTTGTGGACACCAGGATGGATCCGTCACAACTGAGAAGCTTTCTAGGAAATACCAATGCCCAGCCCCAGCCCTGGGGATCTCAGGGTGGCATCTGGGGGGACTCCAGAGGCCTGCAAGTTGAGAGCCCTTGCCCAGTCAACCCAGGACTGTTTGCAATGGAAAATGGGAGACGCCCTTGGTCAAGGTCACTTAAGTAGCAAGATGAACAATAGTTCCTACAAAAAAATGTCCAAGCCCTAGCTCCTGACACCTATGAACACGAGTTTATTTAGAAACAGGGTCTTTGTGAGCCATCCCAGATTAAGGTGGACCCTAAATCCAATGACGGATGTCTTCCTAGGAGAAAGGAGAGGGAGACGAGATGCACAAGGGACAGGAGGCAGGGAGTGGAGGTGCGTTTGCAGTCCATGAAAGGCAGGGAGGGTCGGCAACTCCAGAAGGCAGGGGACACAAGGGACAAATGCACTTGGCGCCTCCAGGGGCACCAGCGCTGCCCACACCTTGGTCTCAGGCCTGCGAGAGAACAGAGCTCTGTTGTTGAAGCCTCTGTGGTGCTTTGTTATGGGGCCCCAGGACACTTCCCTGTTGGTCAGAGCGTGGCCTCCTCTCAGTCCTGGTACCCTGGGATGGCGTCTTCCCACCATGACCTCTTGCTCAGCCCCGCCTCCCCTCTTCCACATGGGGCCAGCCCCCAGTCCAGGACAGTTCACTTGGGGTGAACAATGGGAGATGCTCAGTGCATGTGGGACTTGTGGGCTGACAGGTGTATTGGGACCCGTGTTGATCTGAAATAACCTGGCCGTGGCCTTGGGCCTGGGGTTGCTGGGGCTGTGGTGTGCGTGGCAGGCTGTCTCAGCAGAGATGTCCACGGGCTATCAGAGAGTCGATCCCTGGAGTCTCTGACTGCCCACCTCTCCTCTCTCTGCCAGCCACACTGTGAGGTCCTCCCTTTGATCCAGGGTGTCTGCCCTCCTCTGGCCTGCGAGGACAGGTGTGTATGGGGCTTGGAGCACCGTCCCGGCCACTCTGGCTCAGGGTCCCTGCGGTGCTGAACACAGCCCTGCCCCCTTGTTTGTGAGACCTTCCCCACTTCCATCTGGACAGTCTCTGACAGTCTGCCTCTTGTAACGTCAACAGTGAGTGGTTTGGGGAACATTAGTTGAGTCTGAAAGCCTTTATCCCTGTTGTGTGGTCCCAGAGTTTGGGTCAGCAGCCTCAGCAGGCCAGAGAAAATGCCAGAAGCCCAGCTCTGGGGGTAATCCAGAGCCAGCTCTGCCCCGTCTGCCCACTGCGTGCCATGGCCCCACGTGGGCAGAGGCAACTGGTCCTGCAAAACAGCCGTGCAGGGAGCCTAAGCTGATGTGCTTAAAGTGACACCAATCCTGTGGATTTGCTGCGACGAGCCCAGAGCCGCCTTGGAGGTGCAGCTGGGAAGGGTTGGTCCTGCCCACAGTGAAGGGGGCCCGGCAGGAGAAGGCGCCGTGGCACCGCCCGCCCCCGCAGTGGTCAGGGGCTGCGCCCTGTGCAAGCTGCAGGGCGTGTGGGATGGAGCCAGGAGACTGCTCCGTCGCTGATTCTCACTCGAAGAAGAAAGCACACCTTCTCAAGTCGGGCTCAGCCCCGGCAGTTTCAACTTCTGGAACAGCTCAGAGGAGAGGCAGAAAACAGGAAGCGAGAGCAGGAGGAAGGGTGGTGGTGGGGAGACGATGATGCAGAACACCCACACTGGAAGATCGAATATACCAGAAAAGGGGCGATGGCGGCACCTGTGGGACTTCTCTTGGATGAGGAGCCTGCGGGGGGGGGGGGGGGGGTCAGCGCTCTGCCCCGGGGCTCACGCCTTCCTCAGCATTCAGCCCGCCTTCCTTGGGCACTCCTGGGCAGTCGGCCGTGGGCGGGCTCACTAAGTCCCCGGAAGCCTTTGGTGATCAAACTGTGGCTCCCCAAAGATGTGTGTGTGACCTGACCTCCATACCTGTGAACGTGGCCTTCCTTGGGATCAGGGTCTCTTCACCTGTGATCAAGTTATGATGAGGCCACACTGGAGTAGGGTGGCCCTCTGGCAGTGTGGCTTGGGTTCCTATAGAAGAGGGAAGTAGGGACACAGCACCCAGACAGAAGGCTGTGTGACAACCGGAGGAGCCTGGAGCAGGGCCCTGAGGGCCAAGGGGTGCAGAATGGCCAGCAACCAGAGGAGCTGGGGGCAAAAGGGTCCCCTCGCACCTTTAGAGGGAGCAGAGCCCTAAAAACAGCCTCCAGAACTGTGAGAGAATAACTCCCTGTCATTTGGGTCCCAGTTTCTGGAACTTTGCTATGGCTGTCCCAGGGGAAAGACTGACAATGAACATAATTCCAAACCAACGTGCCCAAGAGCCCATGGCACAAAAGCTGGGACCTCCAGGAACGGGGTCAGCAGGGCCTTCCTGAGAGACAGCCTCAAAGGCCCTGGGGCTGGGAGCCTGGTCCACACAGTAACAAATGGAGCTGGAGCCCGGACCACAAGGCTCTCATGCAGCTGCCGACTACCAAGCCAGACCGGCCCTCCCCCACCTCCCACCAGGTCCCCAGGACCACTTGGCGTCTGAGAGCTGCACCGTTCTTGAAGTGGACATTGAGGCAGAGTGCCAGCAATAGCAGGCCTCAGTCACCTCCAGTGCCTGTGCACAGGTGCTGCATTTAGGGGCAGGGGGTGGGGGGCAGTGACAAAGGACCGAGGCCTCGGTGTCACTCGGGGCCGAGTCAGAGAAGGTTGACTTAAATTACAGCAGGAGGAATTCAGGTCAGATGGCGAGGACTGTTAAGCCCTGGACTGCCTGGCCCAGAAGCTGTGACGAGGGACGCTGCCCGGGGAAGCCCTCCAAGGTCCCCAACCTCTGCACCTGAGACGGTAGCTTCAGAGGAAGGGCAGCTCCTCCAGGACCTGATGACTTCAGCAGCAGGTGGACAAGTGATCACCCAGCTCTGAGAAGCACAGCAGGGCCAGCCAACCCCATGGATGCAGGTCTAACCTGACCACCTCTCACGTTCTGAGTGGCCTTGGAAGGTCTTAGCCTGAGTCCTAGTCTGCAACAAGTCACCATGAGGCTTACTGGCAGCTGGCACTGGGAGCCATCATTCATGGACCCTGGTGTCATCCCTGCTCCCCGGAGGAGCAGCTTCTTTCTCCCTCCTATGATCATGCTTACCTTATGACATGTGCAATGGCAGTCACCAGCCAAGTGTGAGGCCCCAGCCAAAGACGCCTTGCCATTAGCTAACTTTCAGGAAGACAGGCAGGAGGGGTCGAGGGTGAGCCACGCTGGAGCCAGAGCAGAGTGGGCTAGCACTGCAGGAGCTGTTTCCACAGGGACTGCAGCAGGGGACACTAGGCCTGAGCTAGGTTGGTGCTCACAGTGGCCCAGCGGTGGTGAGTGGGTGACAGTGTGGATCTCAGAGCACAGATGCATGGAGGGAAAGCAGGGCTGGGTTAGGAGCCGGCCTCGGGGAGGTCCTCCAGGGTGGTGGGGCAGGAACCCCGAGCCTGGAAGGCTGAGTGGCAAGGGTCATCCAGGGATCTTTGGGTAAGGGGCAGATTCACAGAGCCAGAGCTGAGGCAGAGCTGAGACACAGGGACTGGTCCAGGTCCACGGCCAGCTGAGGTCAGAGGCCAAGTTCAGGCTTCACATTAGGGCCCGACCTGAGGCTAACACTCACGGAGGACTTCAGGCTGTCAGTCAGGGTCAGACCAACAGGGGACAAGTGCTGATCCAATCAACCCAGTTCCAACACTGACTCCTCCCCACTGCCCACCTGTCCTCGCCACAGGGTACTCCTTCCCCACACCCAAGGCACGTGGCTCCTCACCTCCTCAAGTCCTTGTCCCCTTTGTCCTTTGTCCTTCACAACAACCTTGCCCTGACGGATGGGACAACACAGGAAAGGGAATCATGACCCAAGATCATCTCCTGGTATGCACCAGGTGCTCAAAAAATGTTGCATAAACAGTTGGGGTCAGTTCACAGGCACATTAGGGGATCCCCAGAGACAGGAACACATAAAAGTGTCTCCCAGACAGCTTCTCCCACTCTCCTCATCCTCAGGAAGCAGAGTTCTCAGCTGAACCACAGCGGGGCCACCCAGGACAAGTGTGGCCAGAGGGACAGGCAGTGACAGCTCACACAGGCTTCGTGTCCATTCAATGGAGATCCCAAGTGGGGAAAGTGGCTCTTAGCAGGTCTCTTCACCTGCTTTCTGAGGGCATCCAAGTGTGAGCCTGCTGGTCCCTGCTGAGAAACCCATGCCCTGGGGCACCTTTGGTCTTTGATGTCATGTTATATATTTAAAATTCCCCGGGGGTGGCTATTCCCCTTGGAGCTGACCACTTTACAAACCGCTAACCTGGAATGACTCCCCGTTACACCATGAAGACTGGCAATGACTCACTCAAACCCGGCCTCTGCCACTGCCCGCCTTCCCCTCCACCGCCTGCTCTGAGTTTCCAGCCACGCGGAACGGTCAGACGTCAGAGAACCAGGACCGGACGCAGGGCTGGCACCACACATGGACTTTTTCTGGAGGAGAAGAAGGCCCACTGGAAAAATTCTGAGCAGGAATTTAAACATAGACCACCAACGGAACAAGATGAAGAAGTCTCGGCTGGAGACGCACCCGGCGGCCAGAGATGCCCGCCAAGGACAGCCGCGGATGCCAAGGATTTGGTTGCAGGTTCTTAAAACTTGGAATTTCCTTCCAGATGAGCTACTGCTTTTCCATTTTCCAAAGGTTCCGAGGTTTTGTTAAGAAAGGCATTTGAAGTGAGTTAGGAAAAACACACCCTTTCCAAAAGCCCAGAAATCTGTGAAAAAAGCCCAGCCCGGCTCTCCTGGGGAAGGGGGGAATCTCAGGCCCCAGGGCCAGTATTTTCAGAGTAAGTGGGAGAGTGTTTACCAAGAGCGTTCCACGGTTTGGGATTTGTATAAACAATAGACCAACTGATGAGAAGCCCCAAATGGAAAGACCAGCTTGGAATGCCTGGCTGACTGGCGAGGCCAAAGAGAATGCTTTTCCATCCCCAAAGGAAGGGGTCACATGCCCGAGCTGAGACTGGCAGGTAGCCTGCTGGACTCACTCAACAGAAAAGAGAAGACCAACAGACTGGGGGGAAGAGAGAAGGAAGAGTACAGGCAGTCGAGGGCGGCAGTGGGTTGGACGAGTGTCCCCTGCACATTCATGTCCACCCAGAATCACAGGATGTGGTCTTATTTGGAAAGAGGGCCTTCACGGAGATGATTATGGTAAGGACGGTGATCCTGGACTGTGGTGGGCCCTGCCCCCAGTGAGTGTCCTGATAAGAGAGTAGAAAGGGCCCAGGGAGCAGGCAGAGAGTGGGCAACTGCACACCAAGGACCCAAGGCCACTGGCAGCCAGGAGACCAGAAGGAGCCCCCAGGACCATGAGCAGCAATGCTCGTGCCAAGAGCGAGATCTGGTTCATGGAAGACCACACCTCTGGATGCTAGAACCCGTACAAACGCATCAAGCAACTCGCCCTCAAGATCACCCAGACTATTCTGAGGCCACTGTTGGGCAACCTGGGGGTGCAAGAAGGTGAGCTCGGGCCGTCTGAAATTCTGTCCAGCCTCCCAGATGAGAGTCTTCCTGCGGCCTCTCTTCCCTGGGTTCATCATGGCATGCAGGAGGAAGGCAGCTGGCCCGGTCAGCTCTGCTCGTGCCAGCCCCAAGACTGCAATCATGGTGACCTCCACCCTACCAAGGGAGGGTCCTAGTGAGCTCTGTGGAGCCTTCCAGAACTGAAACCTCGGGATGCAAGATACACCCTGATTCAGTCTCTCCCTTGGTTAATTTTATGGGTGGCCTTTGGTCATCCACTGTATCCTCTTGGGAATGCAGTATCTTTCTAGGAAGGAATTGAGAGGGGAAGGGAGGAAGGAAGGAAGGAAGGAAGGGAGAGAGGAAGGAAGAGGGGAAATGAGGGGCAGTGGTCGGCCACTGGAAGGCTGGGCCAGTCTGTGCCTCCCGTCTGTCCCTCACAGAGCTCCCCGGCTGCCTCTAACCACAGGTCCAACTCTGGGGTCTTGTCCTGCAAGCTTATCACTGTCTGTGCACCGGGGAACTCCAGTGGAGACGTCTGTGGCTGGCCCTCATGCCTAGGAACACCAGAGTGTTGCAGGTAGCACCCATGCCCAGGGGAGGAAGGGCAGAGCCCCCACACCACCTGCATCTGGCCGGCTTACTGCCCAGCGTTCCCACACAGACGTCCCAAGCACCAGGCCCCGACTTGTCTTCCTGCTCCCGACACTTCAGGGTCGTGCCTGTGGCCCAATGGACATCCTGCTACCAGGCAGTGCTCCATGGTTTCTTTCTGGGCTCTCCTTGCTCCTCCTTCCCCTGTCTGAGGCCTCTGGCCACCCAGGCTCACAACCCCCTCCTTCTCCCCACTGGTTCCTCCCTAGGGAGCAGGAAACACCCATGTGCACAGGGTGGGGTCATGGTGGGACATGGGCAAGGCCTGGGCCCCCTGCTGCCCACCCTGCAGCCTCCCCCTCAGGATAACCCCAGCTAAAGTGCAAGTCCTCGCTGGTGGACCTGCCTGGACTGTGACCGATGTCTACCCAGGTGATGGACAAGACACACGCGGCAGGGGCTGCAGGGTGGAGTGGACTTGGTGCTGCCCGTGGAGCAGCTCCCCAGAGAAGACGAAAGGCGACGGCAAGTGTTGAGGGGTCGCTGTGCAGACGCAGCACCAGTTTATCTGGGAGAGATCCAAACACTTACCTGGGGGACGATGGCCTAAGTCAGTCCTCCGAGGGGAAGATTCTTAGCTGAACGCGGTGGTGAGCTGCCTGACTGCAGGAGCATTCAAGCAGGCCTGAAGCCGCTGCAGCAACAGCTGGGTTTGGAGCATCAGGAAGGCTGGCGCCGCACAAACTGAGGTTTTGGGGGGGCAGCAGAATGAACCCTGAAAATGGGAGAAATCCCAGAAGGGAAGAGAAAATTGACCACAGGGGGCAAGGAAGCCTCGGGGACGGGGACAGCAGCAGACACTCTGCACCTGCATCCTTCAGAACACAACACCCAAGCTGTGCTCACGTGGCACTCACCCTGAAGGAGAGGCAAGGGCCTGGGGGACATCACACACCCTACTTCTGCTAGGATGGGCTGAGGTGCCCCCAGCCCATTGATCTGGAAGCCTTTGGTCCAGGGTCATAAAGAAGGTGAGAGGGGCCCAGGAGCCAGCCCACGGCACAAGTTCTCTGTGTGCACTCCGGGGGTTGCTGCCTGGCTGCCGTGGCACCATTCCAACTGTGGACATTGCTTAGAGGCTGCGTGAGACCGAGGCAAGAAGTGTTCCTTGAAGTTAGCCTGGGGCTAACTTCCAGTGGGCCCCAAGTTCTCACAGGAGGAGTCTCTGAATCCTGGGGGCTCACACCTGGGCTACAGAGATGATCAACTCTGTGACCTCAGGCAACAAAAGCTCTTTGGCCTCAGTTTTTTTTTTTTTTTTTTTTTAATCTGTTGATAGAAAATTGGTGAACTGGGGAGTGATGTTGGCCAAATCATATTGTTAAATCGTGAGCATGTACTAATATGCACAACAAATCCCACCACCTTAGGTACAGCTAAGATGCACCAATAAAAAACGTGGAGGAAAATCAGTGAACTAGAGAAAGTGAGGTAATTGATAGGGCAAAGCACATTAGTTCTTGTTCACATTTTCCCAGGGCAAGAGTTCCCCCTAAGAGAAGTGAGCCCACCCCAAGCTCCTTCATGGCAACACGTGAACAGCTGACCCCTGAGAGGCAAACAGGTCTGGAGGCCAAGGGCAGGAGGACCAGCAGGGGCCCAGCAGCGGCCAAGATGGATCTAGAAGCAGCACAAGCTTTGGAGCACTGGCTCCTGATGTGGAACAAGCCTTAGCAAGGCCCCTAAGGAGATGGGAACGTCCACCTTGGGTTTCCTGAAGGTGTTGAGCTGCGTCCAGGAGGGCTACACCTAAAAGGACAACACCAGGCTGACCCAGAGCAGCTGCAGCCCACAGACAGCTCTGGTGGCAATGAATGACAGTACTGCCATCAGTGGTAGAACCACGGTGACCCCTGTGCTGGGGACCTCTGAAGTGACAGCCTCCAGGTGTGACCTCAGGGCAACCTCTAAGACAGCCTGGCTCTGCTGTGTCACTGACACCACTGTGCACTAAAGTCTCCTCTTCTGCAGATGAAGGCAAGTGTCCCAGATTGTCATTACACCATCACTATCAATGCATTCAGGCAGGCAACACCTCCCCCAGTGTCCCATGGAAAAATCACATGAGTGACCCAGGCCACATGTAGTTCCTTAAGGGTGTCCTACCTACCTGTAAAGCATGCTGGACATTTTGCTCTTGGTAAAAGATGTAATGAACTTAGTAAGCTTTTTGAAACGTCTCCTTTTTCTTTTGCCTCTTTTTTTGTTTGTTTGTTTTTTAACACAAAAGGCAGGCTAAAATGACCTTACCTTTGCTTGTGGTCCCCGGCTCACATCCGAGGCGGGCAGCAGGAGATTGCCTGAGAGCCGGTCAGGACGCTGCGCCTGGCTCAGGGCCTGCAGATTGTGGCCAGGAGCCAGCACCTTCTCACCTCTCACTCTATCTGCACCACACAGGCCTTCAGAGAGCCGAAGGCACGTCACGAAAGGACGTTAAGGGAGTGACCGACACCACTCTGGGACAAAGAATTACTATTCAGTATGCAAGGACAGAAAAATCAAGTCAGAACCTGGGAATTCACAGCTTTAACCTAGCTGGCAAGTTTTCATTTCTTCAGAGTTAGAACAAAATTTGTAATTACACCTCTGATCAAGGAGCCGGCCAGACATCTGCCCTTCAACACAGAAGCAGCCCTAAAGGCAGGCTCAAGAGCAGAGAGCCAGGTGCCGCCTTTTTGTAATCCAAACGCGGAACAGGCTGTTCAGGATGCCGTGGCCCTGTGGCCTACACCCCGAAAGCCGGTCACTGCGGCCACTTGCCCTAGAGGCAGACGTGTGAGGAGGTCAGCCAGGGAGGTGCCTTGTCACAGATTCTGCCTTCTGATGAAGGGGAAGGATTTGTGGATTCTTAGCCTTTGAATAAAAGTCACTTTTATGCCATTGGCTCTGGTTTTACACTTTACTAAAAAAAATTTTTAAATAAAAAGTAAAGATGATCCTTCCCCTTGATATCATTGTGTGAAGACAGCCAAATGCACTGTTGTGTCCAGGGGAAGGTCCTGGCAGGATAAAAGGTGTCATAAAGGGTATTGTATTGGATACAGTAGTGGATTGGCCTGGGGATGTGGCCATGCTAGTGATGTAGGAGAATATCAGTGTTCTTGGATATATATGTGCCAAAAGTATGGAGGGAAGTGGTGGTCTGGATCTCAAATGTCTCCCAAAGACTTGTGTTTTGAAGGCTGGTTCCCAGTGTGGCAGTATTCAGAGGTGGGTTTAGGAAGTGATTGGACCATGAGGGCTCTGATCTCGCTGGTGGATCAATCCACTAATGGGTTCATAGATGATGGCAGTATTGAGAGGTGCTAGACACTTCAGGAGGTGGGGCCTAGTTCAGAGAATAAGGTCACCAGGATATGCCCTTGAAAGACATCTGGTCCTTGGTCTCCCTCCGTCTCTGCTCGCTCTCGCGCGCTCGCTCTCTCTCTCTCTCTCGTGGTCACCATGAGTTGGGCAACTTTGCTCCACCAAGATAATCTGCCTCACCTCCAGAGCAATGGAGCCAACTGACCATGCACTAAGAGCTCTGAGGCAGGAGCCAGGCCAATCCTCCCTCCCTGGGTCTATTTTCCCCAGTATTCTGTCATAGCAACAGAAAGCTAACAGCAGATAAGAGCCAGATGTCTGCAACCTCTTTCCAAGTTGTTCTTTCCCCCAAATTTAGGCACAGACACACATACTGTTTTGGTCAGCTTTCTTGCTGCTGTGACCAAAAGACCTGTCAAGAACAATTACAGGAGGAAGATTTTATTTGGGAGCTCATGGGGTTAGAGGTCTCAGTCCTTAGATGGCTGACTCCATTCTTTGGGACTGAAATGAAGTAGAACTTCATGGTAAAAGAGTGTGGCAGAAAAAAGTGGCCCAGGACATGGCCACCAAGAAGCAGAGAGCGCCCCACACTCCAGGGACAAAATATATTCTCCAAAGGCACACCTCATTGACCCGCCTCCTCCAGCCACATCCTACTGTTACCACCAGCTAATCCCCATCAGGGATTATTGCACTGATTAGGTTAAAAGTATCACAACCTGATCATTCCATCTCTAAACTTTCTTGCATTGTCTCACACATGAGTTTTGGGGGGACGCCTCTTATCTAAACACAACACATACACATACATGGATGCACACACGCACACACACGTGTGAAGAGGTGTGAACATGGACAGAGGTGGTACTACATATGTAAGAAAAGAAATATGCTTAGAGATTGTATTAGAGAGAAGATGTGAGCAAATGGAGCGAGATGCTAGCACCTGGTAAATCTGCTGAAGGTAAAGGAATTTCTTTGTATTATTCTTGCAACAATTTTCTAAGACACAATTTTATACCACAATAAAAAATCTGCAGCATTTCAATGGTAACACCACGTACCTGGTGTCATCGGAGCTGGCCCAAGGGGACTGTCATGCGGCAGGAAGGAATGTGCTCAGGGCCAGGTGCATGGACTTGTATACCCAGACTGGTGGTCACCTGGTTCTGGGCCGGGTGCAGCCTGGCCCCTCAATCCCAGGACCATTCCCCTGAGTTGTGCAGTGGTAGCCAGAGCCAGCACCAAGCCCCGCGACACCCAGACTCAGAGGGTGTCTTCCCCCTCCTTGTCCCCACCAGAAGGCCCACAGCTACCTCACTCGGAAGCAGGACCAGAGATGAGGAAGCAGACATCAGCCACTGTCACCACAGGTACTTCCCCTGACACAGTGGCTCACCCGGTGTCACGCACCCTCAGGCCCCACAGTGCTTGATTCCACCAGATTTCCACCCCCTTCACTCCAGGTGGTTGAGCTGGACCCACAGTAGAGTGGCCGCAGTTCATTCCGGGCTCCTTGGGCTCCAGGAAGCAGGTGGGCAGAGTGAACAGCCCACTCACAGGGACACATGAGGGCTCTGCAGACACCCAGGCCCCTCGGCCCTGCCCCAACCTTGGCTCTTCTCTTTTGAATCAGACCCTGGTACCCTGACACCCCCGCTCTGCGCCCCACTCTCTGTGCCCTCTCTGCAGCCTGACGGCCTCCTAGCCACCCCTTCCTAGATGATGGGTAAGTCGGTCTTAGCCTCTCACAGATGTCTCCCCCTGTACCCTCACTCCTTGCCATTGCCAGACCAGACAGGTTGTGGCTCCATGCTGATCTGTGATGACTGTGTCCAGAGCCCTGTGGGTACAGCACGTGGCGGAGCCGAGAAGCTACTCCTGGAGTCAAGGAGAATGAGGGCCAGGTCACAACTTGAGCATCCCCCGGAGCTTGTGCACCGTGCTGCTGAGTCAGAATCCATAGTGTCACAGGCCTCTAGGGGACTTATGTCCACTGATGTTTAAGAAATATTGGTTTAGCATGATATTTGCTATGGGGAAAAGAGGAGAGGGAAGAAAGGGGCAAAAGTTTTTATCAAGGTGTTAGGCCCAGGGAGCAATTACTAAAAGCTCAGACACAGGTTCTCAACACACACCCATAGCATGTCCCACTCCATCTGTCCCTGGGCTGCGGCAGGGGCTGGCTTTCCCGGCACAGAAAGGTGATTGCCCTCAGGCAATCGTGGAAGGGAGCAAGCACTGCACCGAGTGATCCCAGAGCCCACACAGGGAGCAGGCCTCCTGTCACCCTGCCTGTGTCCCCCAGACAGTCCAGCACTGGCAGGCCACACGGAATCAGCACGGAGCAGTCCAAGAGCAATTGCCCCGCCAGGGGTGGGGACCTGCCACTGAGTGGTCCTTTGCCTGGTTGTAAATCGGCCCTGGCAGAGCCAGCCAGTGACCTCACACCTGGCCTGCATCTGGACTTTGTGGTAAAGACCTAAATAAAGTGAGGTGAGGCATTTCCTCCCGAGCGTCACTGAGACAGCGCAGTACTCAGGAAATGCAGCGCAGAGGTGATGACTTCAGAATCTTAAAATGAAATCCAGGCAGCCGAACCGAACTCCCCAAGGTCTCTTCTCAGAGCTCGACTTTGCTTCACTTAGCCGGAGAGTCTGTGGACGCATGACAGGTCTGTCCGCAGGTGAGAGACGGCGAGAGTCCTCAGAGCACCAGCCAGCCTGCAGCGCGCTCATCTGGAGTGAGCCCCGGAAGCCCAACAGTGCCCCAGCAGACGTGGGAGCCAGCAGCTCCTCTGCTGTTTGGACTAGAGGCATTTAGCCCCAATTCTGGTTTCCCAGAATTCTTCCCTCCCAGCCCGGCCTCTGGGAAACCAAACATTGTCCTCACTGACACAGGCTCTGAGTAAACAGTGCCATTCAAGGTCCCAACGCACTTCAAGTAAACATGGATGAGCAGTTGCCAGTTTCCAACTCCTGACCTTTGTTTTAAGGACAAATTTTTGAGACCATGACCCCCACCCAGCCTTGACCCAAATCTGCCGAAATGGCTTGTCTTTTGCATCTGCATTTAGAAGCAAAGAAGGAAGATAGTCAGGTGGAGGCTGAGCAGAGACACTGTGTGAATGCCTGGGCTGCTGCACTTGGGGCTGGGGGATGCTCAGCCAAAGGCGCCTGCGGTGCCACCTCAGGCTTACAGGGAGAGGACATCGTGTGGTTTAAGCCAAGGTGGGCTTGAAGATTGCAATGGTGTATCTGTAAAAAGGCTCCCAAAACTATCTCAAGTCACAAAGCAGTGGTGAATCTGGATCCTTTGGGAAGTCAGGACAAGGATGAGGGATATTACCTAACAAGATGAAGCGCTGTGTAGAAGGCAAACGCTTCTAATTCTACTTGGTCTTCTTTAGCTTACATATCAATTAATGTGCCAGTCAGCTTTTCATTACTGTAAAACAATACCTGAGACAAATATACTTAAAAAGGAGAAAGGTTGATTTTGGCTGACAGTTCTGGAGGCTTCAGTTCACAATTAACAGGCCCTATTACTTTGGGAACTGAGGTGGCAGAGTATACCACCAATGGGAGCAGAGGAGCCCTGTTCATCTCACAGCCAGGTGCAAAAAGAAGGAAGTAGAAGAGGCCAGGGTCCCCCAATCCCTTGCAGAGGACACACCATGACCTATTGACTATGCCCCAGCTCCCGAAGCTCCCAGCACCTCCCACAGCACCACACTGGGCACTAAGCCTTTAACACTTGGGCCTTGGGGGGACATTCCAGATCCAAGCCACAGCAATTAGCTTCCACTCCACGGTGGTTTCTGAGGACAGCAAGGGCCATGGAGCTGTTCGAGGTGACTGCCCTCTGCTTCCTAATGAGCTCATGCTGCCCTGTCCCTCTTTGCTGCTGGCTGAGCAGCAAGCCTCCTGCCTCCTGTGTGCTCCCATGGGATGTGTCCTGGGGAGGACAGCAGGGGTCATGCGAGGCTGAGTCAGACCTGACCACATGCAGAGCTCGTAGGGGTACATGCACGCACATGTCCCCACTTCAGCCACTCTGTGCTCCGCACCACCAGTCCCAGCCACCAAACCTGGTGCATTGGAAGGCTACTGACTAGACTCCTCTGGGCCTTCCCCCATCTCAGGCCCCTGTGCATGCAGGTGCATGGTGACAGACACCAGGCACAAGGGACCCTGGAGCTCAGTTATTCTAAGGGGATTTCACAAGATGGATTTTCCCCTAGTGGGCGGGGAGGGGAGAGTGTCCAAAGCACAAGGGAGAGTGTCGGAAACCTTCAGGTGGGGAGTGAGTAATCCCTCTGTCTCTCTCACCAACTCTCAGAGGAGCAGCAAAGGGAGAAGGCAGTGGACATGCCTGGACCTAGCTGTCCGGGTCCTGGAGCACGGTGGTGGTCAGCCCTGAGGGTCTGCTCTGGGACATTTCCTTTACTCTGTCCCTGCCACCTCCCACTGCCCCACCCCAGCCAGTCTCTAAGAGGCCTCTGAACCCACAAATCCTCCTACAGGCAGGGCCAGGCCCTCAGAGGCAGTGTGGAGAGGAGAGGGGTCCATGTGGCTGGGTTCCCTCTCCCTAATGGGAGGAACTACATTTTGTGTGTGTGTGTGTGTGTGTGTGTGTGTGTGTGGTGCTGGGGATTGAACCCAGGGCCTTGTGCATGCGAGGCAAGCACTCTACCAACTGAGCTATGTCCCCAGCCCCCTGATGGCAGGCACTAAACAGAACCAGAGGAGTACGTGGAGCAGGACTGGGCAGAAAGACAGCCGAGCCTGAGACAGGTTGAGCCTGGACCTCCTCGTGAACATCCCAGGGTTCTAAAGTCTAGAGGGGCACAAGGAAACAGCACCATGTCATGTACTGAGTTATCAACACCCGAAATCAACTTCTTCCTCCTCCCTCCTGCCAAGCCCAGGCAGCAGCTGCCAGGCTGGAGTGCGACCAGGTAGTAGAACCCAGGGTGACGGCAGGAATGGGCACATGCAGTGCTGTCGCCTCTGGCTCCCAGGGAGGCCTGTTCTGGGGACAGGATCACTCTCAAGGCTGGAGCAGGGACTTCAGAAGACACCCCAGCTGAGCAGGCAGGTGGTGAGAATGGGACCACACAAGGCCCGGGGTCCTCAAAGTGTGCCATGTGTGGGGTGTAAGGTAGAGACCTAGGGGTGGGGTCCGAGGTCACACGTGGAGCTTGGTTGGTCATCTGACAAGGGCTTAGGCCCTCAGGGACCAGGAATAGCCTGGGAGGGAGGGCTGCAGCCTGACTGTCTCCTGAGCTCCCAAGATGCAGAGAAGCCCCACCCTCGCCAGCAGCCACAGGCCTCGAGGCTCCCCAGCCCCAGGCCTGGCCCCTCACTAGCTGGCTGACCGCGCCCAGCGCTCTGCGCCTCAGCTTCCTGTGGCTGCAGTGAGGCTGAAGAACAAAGTCTAGTCACCGGCTACTGCCAGGACCAAGGGAAACCACGATGTAGAAGTACTTTGTAAAAAGCCTTCTTTGCTGTCATGATTGTCAATCTTGTCGGAAGCACCCATCAATGGCACCGAGGTCGGGGCATGGAGAAACACGGGCCTCACCCTCAATGTGGTGGGCGTCCTTCTCTCCCCAGCCGCAGCTGTCAAGTGGTGTCATGAGCGCCCTGGTGGTCTGGCCTTAGGCCAAAATGAGAGAGGGGTCTGTCTTGGAGGGGACATGGTCAGGAAGGTCAGTCCATAACAGAAGGTAAACAGAGGCTCAAATACAATGGCCCTGTTGAGGATCTGGAGTCCTCTGGCCTCCCCTGCCCCTACCTCAACACAGCCTGTCTGGGCCTCCTAGGGTGAGGGTTCCGGCCTTGTTACCAGGGACCAGTAGGGACTGACCTGCGGCCCACCTGAGCCCGCTGGACAGCCCCCACCAACGAGTGGCCGTGACAGGCAGAGTGAACGTGGTTACACCATGTTGAGCAATTCAGGCCCAATTCTTCTCTGGGCTACAGTTACGTCACAAGCCCGGAGCGTTAGATGAAGGTTGACTGAGCAGAGTCCCCTCCTGCCCCTGGCTCTGGACTGAGTCATGGCACAGTGTCTGCCTTCATGACTCAGCCCTGCCGTCAGTGAAGCAATCTGAGGCCATCGCACAGGCGTTCCCCGTCACAGGCCCAAGAGCACAGGACCCCTGCAGGCACCTGCTTCCCCCCCTCCAGCTTAATGTACCTCTATCTATTTCAGATCTCACCCTGCGGGGAGACCTGATGGGTGTCATGGAAGAGGTCTGCTCAGGACACAGCTGGGGATGGACCTCAGGTGCAGGCATAGCCCGTGGGCCTCCACAGCGTGGTCCAAGATGCATGAGAAGGCCACCCCATCCAACGTCCATCCCGACTGGCCTGTCTCTCCTCCTCTCAGGCTGAGGGCCATGGCAAGGTGAGCTTCCGGTTGATTTTGTAGGGCAAATTAATTTAGACACAAGTTTTAACATGTCAGAAAAATGCAGCTCCAAAGGTTTTGTTATTACTCAAAGACAACAATAAATTCATTGGTCTATTTACCGAAAAGGAACTTACCGCAGGGCATCACAGCCAGGATAAAACGTTTTCACTTATAAAACGGAGGCGCACTTACCCATGTTTTCATTTAAATGAGCCCATGGGCCGCAGCACACAAGGACCACTCTCATCAATGCCTTTGTTCGTTTCCTTCCCTCTCAAACCCCAAGACAAGGATTTGGGTAGAAAAGTGGATCAGGGTGAGGCAGGTAGCACAGGCGAGGCAGGAGAAGCACCTCACTGTGGGCAACCGCAGCTTGCGCGCGCACGGCTGGCTGAGAGGTCCGGCAGAGGGCATCCAGGGCTCTGACCAGGGCGACTGTGTGGGAGGAGGGGCTGCAGCGTCACCTCCAGCTCCTGACACTCCAGGTCTCACCCGAGCTCCCTCAGCTCAGCCACCCGAAGAACCGGAGGACGTTCTCCAGGGAGAGCCAGGCAGAACCCCAGGGGTGCCCTGCAGTTCCCACTGAGCAGCAAGGATCTCCAGGGAGGGCGGAGGCCGGCACTCACAGCGCCACAGGGTGGGCGCTATTGGGTGTCATCCCCTGCAAGCCGTGAGCTTCCTCTGAGCTCTCGCTGTGCGTGGCTTTGAAGCACCTGCCGCATCCAGGTTCCCAGGAAAGGCTCTCTCCCCTCTGCTGAGCGCCATCTCACCCCCCTTCCTCACAAGCCCAGATGCAGGGGGCACCTGCAGGAGGAACTCACAGTCCCTCCCCCAACGCCCTCTTCCCCACTCCTGCCCGTCTCCTTAGGGGACGGTGCAATTCTCTGGTGGTTCATGCTGGACACAGGGCACCTTTGATGTCCCCACGTTCCATCAGTCTGCATCCTAGGGATTCAGCCTCTGAGCCCTTCTCCATCCGGCCCTCGCTCTGGCCCAGGCTACTCCCTTACCTCTGCCCTGACGTGAGCAGCCACCTCCTCATTGTGTTCACGTCTCCACTCAGACCACACCGTGCATACTGCTCCCCGCACCAGGCCGTCTGTGCCAAGCCTGGCCTGAGCTGGGGGAGGCCCTGCTCTAAGCCCTGGTCCTCCTCACACACCCATCGCCGCAGCATTGAGCAGGTTTGGAATTTTGCATTTGGTCATCACCTGTCTTCCCCACGAGGTCGCACACTCTTTAAAGGCCAGAATGACCCCCAGAACCCCTGGCCCTGGTGCCAAGCTGACACTCAGCACTCACCTGGTGAGTGCCTGGAGGAGTCCCATGGAACTGAGGAGGTGGATGAGCCGGGCCTCGGAAGGGAGGGCTGCACAGGGCACCATCAGAGCTGGGCCTCCAGGTGAGCCAGAGCTCAAAGCAGCTGCCAAGCAGGAAGCAAGGCCTTGCCTGCTGGCTTTGAAGTGTGGAGGGGCAGACGCCTGCTGGGCCTGGCTGGGGGAAGGCCAGGCTGGCCCAGGGAGAGGTTCCGGCTCTGCCCCATTGCCGAGCAGCAACTCAGCCAAGACATCAGCCCAGAGCCCAATGGCAAAGCCGTGCCTCAGTGAGGCGATGACCAGCTCCTTATCCAGCTGGAGGACCAAGGCGAACCCCACAGACAGAGGGGCTCCCTCAGGGGTCAGAGCCACAGGAAGCAGCAGCTGCCCACCTTCTGCCCCGACTCTGACCTCCGCTTCTGTGTCTCCTTCCCTCTCCTCCTGGCTCTCTCTTTCCCTCATCGGGACCCTGCAGTGGCCCTTCACTGGGTCACATCTGCAAAGTCCCTTTTGCCACATAAGGTCTCACACTCCCGGGTCTAGAGAGGGGTGTACACATCCCTGGGAGGGGGCCATTCTCTGCCACAGCATTTGTGAATGAAAAGCATTTGTGTCCTTGTGCTCCAGACAGCAGGGGACAGAGCACAGCAGGGCGCTCGCGGGGCCCCAAGGCTGGGGCTGCAGGAGTGTAGGGAAGCAAGTCCTCAGGAAGGGGAGCCCAGACAGCGGGCGTGGGAACGTGGGAACGCCAGGCAGGAACTGCATGCAGTGGGAGGTGTCCAACCCTCCCCAGCAAGGACGGGGCTTTGCAGCTCAGCAGAGGCAGGATTCCTGGCACACTCTGGAGGGGCATCTCCGCCTGCAGGGCCATCTTCCTCACCGTGGATGACTCCCCTCTGCCCTGGTGTGAGCAGCCACCAAGCACATCACCTCATCACCATGAACCTGGCAG